CATAAGAACAGTATCACATCTGAAGACATTGACATGTCATTACCTGAAATGCTACCTACTGAAAATAAAGAAGATCCTGCCGATTTAAATGACGAATATCTTGAGCGTTTATGTGAACTTGACATGAGCAGCAACGACGATGATCTAGCAAGTAATGGCTCTTTATTTGGACTTAGTAGTACATCGACTAAATCAGCTATATCATCGAACAATTCTTCTAGTATGGAGATCAGTTTTGATGAAGTTCCATGTAAATCAGGCGATAGTGAAATTAGTTTCGACGAGAGTAAATGCAGAGATAAAGGCGGTGATGGGCATTTAAACCCGTTAAAGATCGTGACCAGTGTCGATTTTAAGGACATGGAATTGGGCATCGAAGATGAAGATCCATCTTTTAAGAATATATGGAAGTTTTCTGCAACAGTCAGTGACGAAGAAATGGTCCGAATAAAAGAGATGTCTAGTTGTAGCAGTAGGAGAAAAGTTATTGCGCTGAAATCTGTGGTGCATATGGCTAGGATGCTAAACAGTAACGGTTCTCTTTGTGTTCGTTGCTATCAAGATGTCAGAAATTATAGAGATAGAATCATTCAACTATTACGATTGGGAAACACCACATTAGGCTACCAGCTGCTGAACATCCAGGCAATCCTTACAGCCTTTTCAAAGATGAGGACGGCTCTGCTTGCAGAAGGTGACTCAATTAAAATCAACAAATGCGCCTGCTGTGTTCAAAATAAAATCTCCAACCATCCCCTCCGAAAGAAAGCTAGGCGGAACACGAAAGGAAGCGTGAAAGCGGTTTCGAATAGTCATCAACTGAGGGCAAGCTGGGGAGCCAATTTCTTTTTCAGTACAAAAGTGAAAACTCTTTCTCTATTAGATTCCATGAAAGAGGAGCGGCAGATGTGTGATGGATGCTACGAGGAAATCGAAGAAAAGTCAAGCAAAGGAATATCACACTTTTCCAAACCCTCGCGATCGTTGACGTTGAAAATTCGAAAACGGTCGGCAGCTTTGTATGACGCCCACTGTGAAGTGCAGGGACTATATGCAAAAGCTAATGACAATGAAGAACGATGCGATGGTATATGCGTAAAGTGTGATCAGCAAATTACCTTCTGCCAAGATATCCTCGATAAGAGGTTCGAGGAATTGGAATTGGCTCTAGAGGATATGAGAAGTTGTGCTGGGGCCCATGAAGTAATAGGTTTGAAGAATAAAGACGAGACTAAGCTTTGTACGGAAACATTCCCCAAACCCCCAGAAATTCCCGCTGAAGAAAGGGCCCATTTTAGATCAAAAAATATGGTCTATAGTAAAAATATACTTGACCATATCGGCACTGCTTTAGTCAAGTCCCTTCATTGCAGACATTGCAAAAGCCATTTGAAAGCAACTATTGCAGCCTTTAAAAGACTCATGAAATGCAAATCACCTTCACCTGAGAACCAACCAGTTAATCTTGAGGACTGTGATATCAGTGTTCTCCGCAGTTTAGACGTTTTCTACTCTGAGCGACTATCAAACTCACTTTTACATGGGCGCTGCTTTAAGTGCGAGAAATCACTTGACTTGATTGGAGGAGGAACAGAGAGTAGTGACGATTCCTCTGATATGCCATCAGATTCAGGTTCATCTGCAAAGATTTCTTCAGCAGCAGAGGATTATTCAGATCCAAATATTTTCTTTGAGGACGATAAATCAGATGATGGAGATAAACAGGGGCCTAAGAAAATGATGGAAGAGATGACTGAAGAAGACTATAAGAACTTGATCGAAGAATTTACCGTCACTGGTATGGATATCCTTGACGACAATCCTGAGTTAATGGATGATCTATACAGGTTGTTGAGATTAGATGATGATCCTGTTGATCTGGCAGACACAAAGTTGGACCTTCTTGCTTTTCCTGAAATATTTAGTTGGGGTGTTGGCGGAAGGAGGGGTTTTAGAGGTGAAGAAGCAAAACCACTGCAGTATGAAAAGTCTAGGCTTATGTCCAGCAATGGGCCTACTCGAAGGAATATACAGCATCTGTTTCACTTAGCAGGGGAGAATGAGCGTAGAAAAGTTCGATCAAGTATCTTCGCTACACTGAAGAATGTACAAGGAATGGGGAACTTAGATGCGGCGTCTTTACTCAACAAAATCAAAATGAAAGATCCAGCCTTATTGAAAAGGATAAACAAAGTATTAAGATTGGTTCCAAATACACAAGCTTACTGGGAAAGTACGCGTGCAAAACTGAAGGCACAAATAGAAAAGTTTGGCCCACCTACGTTTTTCGCCACTTTCAGCCCTAGTGAGTACGACTGGGAGGATTTACTTCAACACCTAAAAGATGCCAACAGCGACATACCTAATGTGGATGACCTGTCTCCTTCTGCATTACTGAACAAAGACCCTGTATTAACATCCACTTACATCCACAAAAGATTCGATGCACTTTTGAAGTTCATTATTGATGCCGAACCTTTAGGAAAAGTTAAGTCACATTTTGTGAGACATGAATATCAGTCTCGAGGTACTGTTCACTTTCACACATTTTTATGGATTGATAAAAGCCCCCTGATTGGCAAAAGTTCTGACGCGGAGGTCGCAAGCTTTATTCAAAAACACATCACGTGCAAACTCCCTGACCCAGTGAATGAGGCAACCTTATCCGATGTAGTGGGAAGCTACCAAGATCATTCATGCCGATCGTATTGCTTGAGGGCATTCAAAAAGTCTCATAATTCATCAAAGGCAAAGAACGAATCAGCTTCTTCAACTAAGTCAAAAACAAAAGTTGCATGCAGATTTGGGTTCCCAAGGCCAAAGTCGAAGAAATTCATTCTGCATGATGTTTTGTCGAGTGTTATTGGACGGAAAACTAAACAGATGAAACAGAGACTGTACGATTTGCCGAGAACTGAAGAAGAAAGAAGAATTAATGATTATAATCCAATTTTATCGTTTCTGTGGAAAGGTAATATGGACATTCAATTCCTTGCTGAAGATAGTTACTCGATCACACAATATGTTACAAAGTACATCACCAAGGGGGAGACAAGTGTTATCGACATAGATGAAGCGGACCTGAAAGATCTGTCTAAAACATCTTATCAGAATCTCTCCAAGTTTGCGTTCCAGCTACTTAAATCCCGCGAGATGGGGGCACATGAAGCAGCTGATAGGATCCTTCAAAACAGTGGTGAACTCTGGAGATCTTCAGAAACGTTTGTGTGGCTACCAACAACCACTCCAGACCGACGGACTAGGGTTTTGAGAAGCTTAAATGAGTTACAAAACCAGAAACCTGACAGCACCAATGTATTTTTTGATGATTGGGTACACGTTTTTTATCCGAATAGACCTCGAACAAAGGATTTCGAAAACATGTCACTGTATGATTTCGTCTCCAGGTACGAGAAAGTGATTGGAAAACCTGAAAAGTTTGAAAAAGAAGAGAAAGAAAAGTACATCAAGATCAAGGATGAAAGTGGAAAATACATACGAACTCTTCAACGGAGAAAAAAAGAACCTGTTATTTACCATCACAACTATTCAGTAAAAACTGATCCTGAGCTGTTCTATTACAGCATGTTAGCTCTTTATAAGCCATGGCGAAATGAAGCAGACATCGCTAGCTCTCACGACAAATACAGCGATGCGTTTTTTGATGCTGTCGAGGACTTTTCACAGCTCAAGGAAATGTCTAGCAAGAAGATCAATATTGAAAAGGCTAGAGAGAAGATGGAAAAGGAAGCAGAAGCAAAAATGGCAGCATCTGGGACAGCAACTCCTTCACAGGCTGAGGATGACATCGATCTCGGAAATCAAGGTCTTAGATCCGGCCTACGAGATTTTGAGATAGTCAACGATAGAAGCGAAATAAAGTCTCATGGGGAACTTGAATCGTTCGTCAAAACATTGAATGAAGATCAAAAAAGAGTATACATCAAAGTCACTAAACATATTGAGCATATGGTTCGACATAGGGACAAAGAATGCACGGGCAAGGAGTGCAGTCGACCTCTCAATTTATAATAACATAAACCCGCCACGCAAAGGGTTTATATAACAGATCATCCCGCGCTAGCGGGATGATCTGATAAACACATACGAGTGCGCGCAGCGCACGAGTTTTGTGTTGATATGTAATCCCGAAGCGCCAGCTGAGGGATTACATTTATTTAGCCCTGAGCGTGAAGTGTTTATGGATTATAATTATCTCCGGCGATTTCGACAAGGGATTTATACTTTAGAGTCAAATCCAACAGAAACAAGAAAGCACTCTAAAATGTAGTTGAGTCGTTGAACAGGAATTTGGTCAAAGTCATTGAAGTCACGAGCAAATCTGGATGACTGAAGCCAAGAATTAAATTTGTTTAGAGCCCAGTTGTTGACTCTAACTGTACTGTCCGGAACACGATTGGAAAGCAGTTCATCAATCTGAATGTCAAACCGATCTGTCATAGTGGAGCAATAGCTTGAACGTTAGCAGGAACAAGAGCTGGAAGGAGAGCAAGCAAAACAATACTATTTTTAGGGCACGGACAAGGGTAGCTGGCTAGTCGCCAACTTCTCACGCCACGCGTTGGAGAAATTCCAAGAATTAGCTGCTTTGGCAACGTTCCCAGGAATTTGCGTGTAAAAGAAGTGGACGGTTACGATGTTTCATATCACGTGGTGCGCTTTCGTGTCACGTGGTATAGACTCGGCGTATGCTATTGGTGGCACGTGGTACGCACGTGACGCGCCCACGTGATCGCGCGTCTAACTGTTCTACTAGTACTATTATCGAGTTCTAATCAGCAGTATCATTGATTATTGTAAGTCGGAGAATTGAATGATAAACATCAGTTACGACTAAAAAGCGGGCCGGGTTTATACAAATTTCCGGGGCGGGATGATATCACCTTGAGATGTTTATCTAACAGCGGGCCGGGCTGAGTGATAATATGATCCCGCGTCGAAATCCCGGAGATATTTATATGTTAGTGGATTTGGTGGAACAGGAAAATCTTATTTGATAAAAGCCCTTCAAGGATATCTTTGGGTTCAGAAAAACCTGTTTGACGAATCCACTGATATTGCCTTAACGGCACCAACGGGGCTTGCTGCAGCTAATGTGGGAGGGCAAACACTGCATAGTCTCTTCAGTTTGCCAGTTGAGCATGGAGAAAAACTGCCGAAATACGCCGCCCTCAAGAAGAATTCGATGCAGCAAACAAGAACTGTACTGAAAGATCTAGCTTTGCTCGTAATTGATGAGATCAGCATGGTGTCAGCAGAGATGATGATGTCAATCAATTTGAGATTACAGGAGATTTTCGGTGCCGATGAGTTGTTTGGCGGTAAAACAGTAATTGTTTTCGGTGATCTACTGCAGTTGCCTCCTGTCCATGGAAAACGGCCATTTCAGGATTTGTCCGGGGATGATGTTCACAACTTAACAGGCGGTCTTAGAATCCCTAGCCACTTGTGGGGGAACTTCGAGTACGATGAACTCACCATCAATCAGCGTCAAAAAGGAGAGGAGAATGAAAAATGGAGTTCTTTACTAGGCAGGATTCGTATTGGCCGCCAAAGTCAAGATGATATCAACATTCTTCAAGAGCGACTTATCCCAGTCAGACAATGCGAATTACCTAATCAACACTTAGATCAGATCGTTGATTACTACCTCAATTTGCAAAACCAGTTCCCTACCACTGTTTGTCTATTGCCAAAAAGGAACATGATGGATTCTTTTAATATGACAGTCATGAACAAACTGTTCCCCAAGGCAATAAAGGTTGAGGCAGATGATGACGTTGACGGTAGAACAAATGCTGACAAAAAACGGGCATTAGATGCAGTTCTGAAGATTGATAAATTGGGTGACTCTCGAAATACGGCTGACTTGGAAAAGTGTCTTTTCTTGAGCGAGGGTGTCCGAATAATGCTAAGAAAGAATATTGATACAGCGAAAGGGCTCGTAAATGGTGCTATGGGAATAGTAACAAAAATTGTATCTTTTGAGGAACTTTTAGTGGAATTTGATGGGATTGACGGCGTTGTTACAATAACGAGGGATACTCGAAAAGTTAAATTGTTCGAAGATTCCTACCTCCATCGTCGACAGTTTCCTATCAGTACCGGATACGCCCTTACCATCCACAAAGCGCAGGGCATGTCTCTGAGTCACGTGTTTTGCGACTTAGGAAGTATGATCTTTGCAACTGGTCAGATTTATGTTGCTTTGAGCAGGTGCAAGACTCTTGACGGACTTCATTTAGTCAACTTTGACGAATCACGGATAACTGTTGACCGTCTGGCTATTAATGAGTATGTAAGACTCAAGAGTAAACCTATCATAGCAGCAGGGATCACTCTGAAGACTGATGACCAGCCAGAATCAAACAAAAAGGGCAAGAAAAGACAGACGAAGAAGAAGAATGAGAGGATATGGTATGAAACCGACGCTGCAAAGAAGGCTAAAGCGACTGTGAATGATACCTTAAAGAATGACAAAAAGGATCAATCAAAAGCACGCAAGAAAAAGCAGCCGGTTAAACCAAAGAAAACGAAGCCAACTACTGAGAGGAACTCAAGTTTAACAGCAGCTAATATCAGTACACACATCAATCAGATCTACGTCGGAATTCCTGCTGAGTATATTCCGACTACTGATATTGTTAGTGGTGCAGAAATGCTGTTAGCATACAGGAGGGCTCTAGTACCTGGTCACAGAGGTAATTTCCGAGACAGCTTTATTTCGAGAACAGCACTTGAGTTGGACCCTGATCCATACAACATCAGACAGGTCACTGATCTCTGGTTGACCGGATCGACTATCACAAAATATATCGCTGTGATTAAGGATGATTTGACTACAGAGATCGGGGGTACTACTTTGTACAATATGGGACCTTACTGTGGTGGATATCGGAGAGAGGGTCGACGTCAGGCTGGTTTGCTCGGGGATTACATAAAGAACACATTTGGCGAAAGACCGTTCACTAGACTTAGGTATAGTTTATTTTATTTTTCTTCTCATTTTATTTCGAACTCGTCAAAGTAATTGAATAATTGATTACAATGTATGCTAAAATCGAATGCATATCCTATAACGATATATTTCAGACAATACATGGTTCTTCCATTCACTATCAAGGCTCACATGGATAAATATGGAGATCCTATGATGCATGATATTATTGTGATGGTCGGCAACCCTGGTGCACATTGGTATACGATCATCATTGACAACAGAGTGCGGCAGGTTTGTACCGCTCAATGCTTTAATTTTATCAAATAAATTTAAACCGGGAAGCTTCTGCTATTTAATGTAATCGCAATTTTACACATAACTGTATGTATTCATATAACATGTAATTATAAAGTACATGATTTAAATATAAACGAAAAGCTTGGAGAGGTTTTAATAATATTCCTTCGTACAGGTTGTGCACTTTGATTCCCTTGCTTGCTCGACAGCAAGAATGAAAGATCGTTGCAGCTCACATTTAAGGCTGGTTAAAGACTTTCGGCAATATCTGAGGTTCGTTTAAGCTAACCATGGACTTAAACATTAATTTTCAAATAGTTATTAGAATGATATACAAAATGTTTCTAGAGCGTTATTTGATAGTTATACAGTCTAAATTTGCACACCATTTCAGGGAAGAGCTACAAATGGAAATCAGTCAAGATTTGAATACTGATGACTATTCTTTTGTTGATGGCCAATCAAGCATTCAACGAAATAGTTATGATTGTGGCGTCTTCTCTCTAATGAACATAGAGAAATATGTCATTGGCAGACCACTAAATCATCTTATAGTACAACCGCTCATGAAACTATTTAGGCTTAGAATATTAGGGAAACTTTATCAACAAGGCGTTCAGCAAGGTTTAAGCCATTAGATATCCTCATTATATAGTGAAATGATGTCTTAACCTTGTCAGCTTTTATAACATCCCTAATCGTTGCTGTTATATCATTTTCATGAGCCGAAGGTGATGACGATTTGTCTTTAAACATGCAACTCATGTCTTTATCTTTATGATAGTGCGGACTACTTGTAATGGCACTATGTGTCCACTTAGCTTGTAGTCTGCTATTATATGTTATTAATTGGGTTGTGGGCTACTTGTAAGGGACACTAGGTGTCGACTTGGCTTGTGGTCTGCTATTATATGTTATTTATTGGGTGGTGGGCTACTTGTAAGGGACACTATATGTGTCTACTTGGCTTGTGGTCTGCTATTATATGTTATTAATTGGGTGGTGGGCTACTTGTAAGGGACACTATATGTGTCTACTTGGCTTGTGGTCTGCTATTATATGTTATTTATTGGGTGGTGGGCTACTTGTAAGGGACACTAGGTGTCGACTTGGCTTGTGGTCTGCTATTATATGTTATTAATTGGGTGGTGGGCTACTTGTAAGGGACACTATATGTGTCTACTTGGCTTGTAGTCAGCTATTATTTGCTATTAATTGGGTGGTGGGCTACTTGTAAGGGACACTATATGTGTCTACTTGGCTTGTAGTCAGCTATTATATGTTATTAATTGGGTGGTGGGCTACTTGTAAGGGACACTATATGTGTCTACTTGGCTTGTGGTCTGCTATTATATGTTATTAATTGGGTGGTGGGCTACTTGTAAGGGACACTAGATGTCGACTTGGCTTGTGGTCTGCTGTTATTAATTGGGTGGTGGGCTACTTGTAAGGGACACTATATGTGTCTACTTGGCTTGTGGTCTGCTATTATATGTTATTAATTGGGTGGTGGGCTACTTGTAAGGGACACTATATGTGTCTACTTGGCTTGTGGTCTGCTATTATATGTTATTAATTGGGTGGTGGGCTACTTGTAAGGGACACTATATGTGTCTACTTGGCTTGTGGTCTGCTATGATATGTTATTTATTGGGTGGTGGGCTACTTGTAAGGGACACTATATGTGTCTACTTGGCTTGTGGTCTGCTATTATATGTTATTAATTGGGTGGTGGGCTACTTGTAAGGGACACTATATGTGTCTACTTGGCTTGTGGTCTGCTATTATATGTTATTAATTGGGTGGTGGGCTACTTGTAAGGGACACTATATGTGTCTACTTGGCTTGTGGTCTGCTATTATATGTTATTTATTGGGTGGTGGGCTACTTGTAAGGGACACTATATGTGTCTACTTGGCTTGTGGTCTGCTATTATATGTTATTAATTGGGTGGTGGGCTACTTGTAAGGGACACTATATGTGTCTACTTGGCTTGTGGTCTGCTATTATATGTTATTAATTGGGTGGTGGGCTACTTGTAAGGGACACTATATGTGTCTACTTGGCTTGTGGTCTGCTATGATATGTTATTTATTGGGTGGTGGGCTACTTGTAAGGGACACTATATGTGTCTACTTGGCTTGTGGTCTGCTATTATATGTTATTAATTGGGTGGTGGGCTACTTGTAAGGGACACTATATGTGTCTACTTGGCTTGTGGTCTGCTATTATATGTTATTAATTTGGTGGTGGGCTACTTGTAAGGGACACTATATGTGTCTACTTGGCTTGTGGTCTGCTATTATATGTTATTAATTGGGTTGTGGGCTACTTGTAAGGGACACTATATGTGTCTACTTGGCTTGTGGTCTGCTATTATATGTTATTAATTGGGTGGTGGGCTACTTGTAAGGGACACTATATGTGTCTACTTGGCTTGTGGTCTGCTATTATATGTTATTAATTGGGTGGTGGGCTACTTGTAAGGGACACTATATGTGTCTACTTGGCTTGTGGTCTGCTATTATATGTTATTAATTGGGTTGTGGGCTACTTGTAAGGGACACTATATGTGTCTACTTGGCTTGTGGTCTGCTATTATATGTTATTTATTGGGTGGTGGGCTACTTGTAAGGGACACTATATGTGTCTACTTGGCTTGTGGTCTGCTATTATATGTTATTAATTGGGTGGTGGGCTACTTGTAAGGGACACTATATGTGTCTACTTGGCTTGTGGTCTGCTATTATATGTTATTAATTGGGTGGTGGGCTACTTGTAAGGGACACTATATGTGTCTACTTGGCTTGTGGTCTGCTATTATATGTTATTAATTTGGTGGTGGGCTACTTGTAAGGGACACTATATGTGTCTACTTGGCTTGTAGTCAGCTATTGTTTGTTATTAATTGGGTGGTGGGCTACTTGTAATGGCACTAGGTGTCCACTTGGCTTGTGGTCTGCTAGTGAATGTTATTTGTAATAAACTGTAAACAAATTTTTGAATTTTAAAACTTGATTGATATTTTTCTATTTTAATTCAATTTTCCCGCAGGTACAGTGACTACGGTGGTACAGTGGGGTCCGGGACTCAACGGTGTAAGACTCTACGGCGTGAGACTCTACCCCTAACCCTAACCCTAACCCTAACCCTAACCTTAACCCTAACCCTATCCCTAACACTAAGCCTAACCCTAACCCTGACCCTAACCCTAACCCCAACCCCAACCATAACCATAACCATAACCATAACCATAACCATAACCATAACCATAACCATAACCATAACCATAACCATAACCATAACCATAACCATAACCATAACCATAACCATAACCATAACCATAACCATAACCATAACCATAACCATAACCATAACCATAACCATAACCATAACCATAACCATAACCATAACCATAACCATAACCATAACCATAACCATAACCATAACCATAACCATAACCTAACTTTACCCTAACCTAACTTAACCCTATACCTAACCCTAACCTAACCCTAACCCTAACCCTAACCCTAACCCTAACCCTAACCCTAACCCTAACCCTAACCCTAACCCTAACCCTAACCCTAACCCTAACCCTAACCCTAACCCTAACCCTAACCCTAACCCTAACCCTTACCCTAACCCTAACCCTAACCCTAACCCTAACCCTAACCATACCTAACTTAACCCTAACCCGCCGTAGAGTCTTACGCCGTAGACTTAGAGCTTCCCAACCCCGGGACAGTGTACACTTTTAAAATTTTGCTTGCTCAACAGTAAAATCGGAGGTCTTGCTGCCTCGTCATTTCAGGCTAGAAGTAGTCAAGGTCTTTTAGCAATATCCGAAGTTATCTTTTTTTTTCTTTAGTGATTTAAAAACTAATCAGCTGATTAGAATAACATTCAAAATATTTTAGATTTATGTGATAGTTCAGATTTATATTAATTGCTAGAAAGGAAATTGTTTTGTCCACATCGAGAGTTTAGTTTTATAATTTTGCACTATTTTCAGGAACCATAAGCCATTTTAGCGAGGGAAAACGAACTACACAACGAACTTTAAAACTCGCCGAATTCCACAAACATTTATAATTATACGCAATTACCGAACTTTTACAGTTCGTTTAGCCGACTAAGCAAAATAAATTATTGTATTGACTATCTTATAAATGGAATCGTGATTAATCACTCTACACTCAACTATCACGTGACTTAATTTAATAGTAACACCTTCTTTAGTTGGCCTTGGGAAGGGACTATATAATAACTTACCTGAGTAGCTTTTTAAATTTTGACATGTTTTTAGACAGATAAATAATTTTGTAAGGAACCATCAAAAATTATTGCAACATTACCATGCACTATTTAGGTTTGATATTCATGATAAAACATTTTTACTGATGACTAATTTACAGAATTAAAATTACTATATGGTTTATTACTTTATATCATAAATTACCATTTCTCAGTTACAATAATTTTTGTGTCTAACTGCTTCTAATGTTGCCTCTTTATTACTGTTAACTGTTTGAACAGTTTTCCATTGCCAATGAAATATGAACTGACCTGGTGCAGGCTATTATATGTTGAATAACTTTGTCTGGTGTCAACAATATTTCAAAAGAATGTTTACAAGTAATATTCGCCTATTTAAACTAATATTTTCGGTAGTAATAATCAATCTCAGTGTAAATACTAAAATTTAAGAGTGGAAAGTCATAATTTTCTCAGTCGGTTTTAGACCAAAAAAATGTGATATTTTAACCAAAACCCAAACATTGGGTAGGATTGAGCGTTGTCAATGTGTGTGCATGCAGGGCAAAACTAAATTGTGATCAAGTAACTTAATTATATTCGTTATAACTCTAGTTCCACGATACAATGTAAAATAAAGTAACTCTTTATACAAATTACATATAAAGATAGTTAATAAAACGAATAGAAGATGTGATATAAAAAAGTGACCGTTCTTGTCCCGTCACAGCGCTCGCTTGCTTTGACCGTCATGTCACCAAATTATGAATTTAAAACGTCAGGCCTAGCCCTATCAATAATTATGAAAATAATAAAATTTACAAGTCAATTGCTAACATAAAAAAGACCGTGAAATATCCGGATCTGAAAAATATTTATTAGTCACATTATAGTCGTTCTGTTCCCAGGTCAAATTTGTATTGATCCAGTTTATTGCCACAAGGCTGTTATCATTTCCTGATAACAGCCTTTTCCTTGTTGCAATAAACGGGATCAATACAAATTTTGTTTAAGTATAGTACAGCAAATACCAATCATCATAATTTAAATAACATTTTGTTTTTCCATGTGTAACACTGATTTATCAATTATAGCTTACCTAACCTATATTTGTGTGCTCTGGTATAAATAAATTAAAGTCGGGCTTCATAAAACTCAAAAAGTTGCATGCAGAATCGATTTCAAAATGGACGATATAATAGCTAACTAAGCTTAAGTTTAGATACAAAATATGCATACCCGATTTTGTATGCTCAATGATCATTGTGCAGTACATAAACTCTTTTAGTTCCTTTGGTGCCCAGTAACAATTGGTTTCACTAACTTAGTTTATAACTTTATGCAGTCAGTCTAAACTCTAGGGAAGTCTAAACTATAAGCTTTAAAGTAACTCTCAATCATCGCTTTTTTTTGAAATCGGGAATAGAATTAATTTGATTGTGATTTATAATGACAAAAATAGTTTTAATTTTATTTTGTAACGTTTAGACAAATACACACATTTTCTATGAACATAGTTAAATTTGTAAACCGTTCGGATTAAATTTTTACTACTAGTACTATACTACAACAACAAATTTTTAATTTGCTGTAAAAATACCACTTCTTTCAAATCGAATAAATTTTCGTGAGTGATTTGGTGACATGACGGTCAAAGCAAG